TATAAGATAATCTATTTGTTCTGTGGAGGTAATGAGCCATTAGAGTGATAGAGTCGGGTATTATCATCTTGATTCATTTGAAAATTATATATTTTTGTATAGGTTAAGAAAAATTATAGACTATAATTTAGAATTATTAATATAAAAAAAAAAAATAATCTTAAAATGTTGAATGTGAAATCATAAATATGTGTTGCTAATTTTTGTGATCCTATGGGGCATTGGCCATGAAGTAAGTGTGGTTATTTGAATGTGTGGTGTACGGGGGTCCAAAAAGAAAATGGATAACGGAAGTATTGGACCCAGGAAGGGAGGGCTAGTGTGAGGTCCACCAGCAAAGACCTCTGTGTGAAATTTTCCCTTTGTTTTATGTATGTTTTGTTTGTAGAGTAGAGCAATCATAGGATTCACACTCTTTCGATGTTAGTGTGTTGGGGTTCGATTGGCGGGTTGAGTTCCCATGCCGCAAAGAGAGTCCAATAAAGAGTCGGGTGGCCTAATCGAGCACCGAGTGATACACATAACAGAGATGGCGCCCAAACGGAAAATAAAGCCCAAATGTACCTGATATTCAGTAGAAAAATGACCATAATGAATAGTTGTTTTGGAAATCTGTGATATTAGGGTAGTAATTCTGTGCAATAACACCGACGCACATAGCCATAGAACGGTATCAGCTTTTACAATAGACTTAAGAAAATAGTTATATTTTGAACAATCTGTGATATTTTATAGCATCCGGACTTAAAAATGTTGAGTTACGAAGTGCAATAATTTACATAAGATGTTAGAATGACTAGTTTCTACAATTACACATTTAGGATTATATCGATAACTCGTAATTCCTAACTGGAATGTAAAGAAAGTATCGATAAACCTAAAATACTTTTTATTTGTTTTTTGTTATACCCCACATGATTATATTCTACCTAAACTTCGAGATGGTAACAATAGCGGTTATGGAGATTTTATGTCTGTCAAAATCAGAGTATTGTGGAGCAAGCCATGAGCTTCCAATCAAGAAAATTGATAGTGATGTCATGGTCCTGGAAGATAAGAGTATACATCAAAAAAATAAAAAAAAAAAAAAATCGATTTGGGAAATATTCACTCATCTCGTCAGGGAACACTTTATACATATTAAAACGCCACAAACACACTGCTCCTGAAAATAGCCATGCCCCCATAAATCAATGTTTGTACTTGTTTGTATTTGTGATAAATAAATTTGTGTATGTAGTAATTAGTTTTTTTTGTTGTTAAAATAATCAAATAATTCGCCGTATTCTAAGTAGTGATTTGAAATCGGGTAAGGGATTCGTACGGTAACTTATAAAGACAGCGCGGACTGGATAGGTCATGAGTTACAATACACGCAGCAGTAGAAAGAATAAAAGAGGTAGACCCGAATCTTTCGATATCAACCGTTCGACTTATTTTCCTGGTTGGAGTAAACAAAGAAGAGTAGGTCGCGACGAAATGGCTGAAAGTAACACAAATATGAACGCCTTTCAATTTATAGATTTGGCAGATTCAATAATGAGAAGAGACCATAATACAAGCCAAGTGTCGGCAACCGGAGGTAATTTGACAAATAACGACGCCGGCGGCGTAATAAATTCTGACCTTCACGGGTTAGTGCAAGATGAAGCCGCATCGGTACAAAAGTCTTTGGAAGATAAAGTTAAAAAAATGGTAGAAACCGAAATAGCGGATGTTAAAAAAATGATAGATACCTTGCAACAAGGAATGAAGGAGTTGTCAGAAGTAGTTCGAGCTCAGGTTGTCGCACCCATAGGTCAAAATACAACTTCTAATTCCAACGCCAATAGTGTCGTGAATGAACAATCAGCACGCAACAATATGAATGCTTTATCAAGTCGAAATATCCCACCAATGGTGCAGTTTCCCAATTCTATAGAAACTCCATCGACCAGTCAGTATAATGCCCCCCTAGTAAATTCCAGTACCGAACCCTTGAAAATACGTGTTGATAAGTTAGGATTAAACTTCAGCGGCGATCCTAGAGACCTACGGGTCAATGATTTTATTAAAAGGTTGGAAATCATGCAAGCTCAATATAATATACCTTGGGCCGAAGTGCTAAGAGACTTTTCCTTTCTCGTTTCGGGTCAAGCACGAGAATGGTATTGGCTCCATCGGCAAAGTAATATGTATACCGATTGGACCGGATTGAAAGAAGCCCTTATAAGCCATTATCAGACTCCACAGTCAAAATTTGATATTCTCAGGGATTTATTAGAGAGAAAACAAAGGCAAAATGAAAGTATAAATAGCTATTTCCACGAAATGGGGATTTTGCGATCAAGATTATTGCAACCAATTTATGAATATGAAATGATTAAGATCTTGAGAGGCAATATTCGTGAAGACATCAAACGACATGTGTATCAAATGACTATATCGTCAGTTGAGCAACTGCGTATTGAATGTATAGAAGCCGAACGTAACTTCCCACGACGTGAAATTAGACCAATGTCTGTTCCACAACGGCCAATTAGGCAAATAAATGAAATATACGACAGTGGTTATGATGTCCCTAATGGGGACTTAGATGAAAATAAGGAAGAAAACGTGTCTGCCCTTCGAATGCAAAACCAACCTAGAGTGCCAATTATATGTTGGAATTGTCGCGAAAATGGGCATGTATTTATGGATTGTCCGGCGGAGTTCAGGAAGTTGTTCTGCTATAGGTGTGGTAAGGCCGATACTATCACCCCAAAATGTCCTGTTTGTCAGCAGGGAAACTCGAAAAGGGGTGTGGAGAAAGCAGGGGAGACACGCCCTTTAGAGAACCCTGTGAATCACCAAAATTAGATACCAAGGTAGTCAAAATATTAAGTAGTAATAGTGATCATAGAGCTAAGGATAATGTTAAGATTGATGTAAACCAATTTACGGCCGCACACAGACAATTAAATTACGAAAAGGTGAAGGAGAAAATATTTAATTCAGAGTTGCACGAGATTCCCAATAAAATTAAAAGATTGAGACAGAAAGCAAAATTATGGCGACAACAAAAACGCTATTTGGTAGAGTCTCTTAATAAGGTAACTACAAATTCACCGGATCCCAGCGTTTTTGCCAGAGTAAATTTAGGTGGTAAGGTTATAAACGGCCTACTAGATACCGGAGCGTCAGTGAGTATGTTGGGTAAAAATTGTAGAGAAGTAACCGAGGAATTAGGCATTCCAGTAATCCCCATGTCCAGCAGGGTAACTACCGCAGGGGGGACACAGTATACCGTCTTGGGGAAAATAAAAACAAATATAAAATACCAAGACGCAGAAAAAGAAATAATATTATTTTTATGTCCTCAGCTAGAACAAGAACTTTACCTGGGTATCGATTTCTGGCGACTTTTCGAATTGGCCCCAGATGTGATAGGAATATCAGAAATCAATTTGGAAAAGGTCGTTACAGATATGACAGCCACTGCTTCTGATTATAAGCTAAACCCACATATTTTATCACCGGATGACGAGAACCGATTGAAAGAAGTCCTCAGCTAGAACAAGAACTTTACCTGGGTATCGATTTCTGGCGACTTTTCGAATTGACCCCAGATGTGATAGGAATATCAGAAATCAATTTGGAAAAGGTCGTTACAGATATGACAGCCACTGCTTCTGATTATAAGCTAAACCCACATATTTTATCACCGGATGACGAGAACCGATTGAAAGAAGTCATAAGTAAATTTAAAACTTTTGAAAAAGATGGACTAGGCAGTACTAATTTGGAGAAACATTCAATAAAATTAATTGATGGTGCTGAACCGGTTAAAGACCGACACTATCCGATGTCTCCAGCAGTACAAGCCATCACATACCAAGAAGTGGACAATATGTTAGCTCTTAAAGTCATTGAAGAGAGCGAAAGCCCGTGGAGTAATCGTACAACGATTGTGAGAAAGCCAGGGAAAAATCGCTTTTGTCTTGACGCTAGGAAGTTAAATAAACTTACGGTGAAGGACGCATACCCTCTACAAAACATAGAAGGAATACTCAGCCGAATTGATGAAACGCATTTTATCAGTAGTGTAGATCTTAAGTATGCATTCTGGCAGATCGAGCTAGACGAAGAAAGCAAGTCGTACACAGCTTTTACGATCCCAGGTCGCTCATTATACCAGTTCCGTGTGATGCCGTTTGGCTTGTGCAATGCTGCACTGAGATAAAGTCATTCCCCAACGTTTGAAAGAGAATGTCTTTTTGTATTTGGACGACCTGTTGATCATATCAAGCAACTTCGACGAGCATCTTCGTTTATTAGCCGATGTAGCCGAATGTTTGAGTAAAGCGAATCTGACTATTGGGTTGAGCAAGTCCAAGTTTTGTTTCCAACAGCTGAAGTACTTAGGATTTATAATTGGAGGAGGGGTATTGCGAACCGATCCCGAAAATATAAAGGGGATAAATAAAATAAAGGTCCCGAAAAATGCTAGAGAGGTCAGGAGTTTTCTAGGTACGGCTGGGTGGTACCGAAGATTCATAAAGGACTTCGCTTCAATATCGGCCCCACTCACAGACACTTTCAAGAAATCTGTTAAGTTTCAAATGAATTAGAAGGCAAAAGAAGCATTTGAAAGCTTAAGAAGGCTCTCCGCGCCAGTGTTACGACACCCTGATTTCTCGAAACCGTTTTTCATACAGTGTGATGCATCGGAATATGGAATCGGGGCCGTACTGTTTCAAATGAATAGTGAAGGAGACGAGCACCCGATTGCCTTTTATTCCCAAAAATTAAACAAATGCCAGAAAAATTACAGCGTGACGGAGAAGGAGTGTCTAGCCGGGGTGATGGCAATAAAAAAATTCAGACCCTATGTTTAACTCATGGAGTTCACCGTGATCACCGACCATTCGAGTTTGCAGTGGCTGATGACCTTGAAAGACCTCAGTGGATGGTCACTACAACTCCAAGGGTATAATTTCAAAATCATTCATCGCAAGGGCAAAGAAAATGTAGTTGCCGACATGCTATCACGTCTACCCACTGCCGACGAAATTGATATGAATCAGGTTTTTGAATTCGAAACTTCTGAATTTGATTCCGATTCATACAAAGAGCTTAGAGATGTAGTGGCGAAGAATCAAGAAAGGCTTCCAGATCTAAAAATCATAGACAATATGGTGTTTAAAAAGAGTCTTGCGTCGTATGATCCGGAAACCCAAGAGTTCCAATGGAAATTATGGGTCCCCGTGTCATTAACCCATGAATTAATTAAACAAGCCCACGAAAAAACCACATCAGCACATGGAGGAATATCTAAATCCCTATATCGCCTACGGGAAAAATATTATTGGCCTCAGATGGGCTCGCAGATCAGGCAATACGTTTCCAAATGTTCCATATGTAAAGAAACTAAACCCATAAATCGGAGCACACAGCCTACTATTGGAAATGAAGTCGTAACACAACGACCATTCCAAAAACTTTATATTGATTTTTTGGGAAAATATCCTCGCTTGAAAAGTGGCAATGGTGGACCACTACACCAAATTCACCTTTTTGAAAGCGATGCGAGAAGCAACCGCCTCTGATGTGGTCAAATTTATAATTGAAGATATTTACCGCAAATTTGGTGTACCCGAGACGGTGCACAGTGACAATGGGGCCCAGTTTATTTCAAAAACATTCAAGGACATGATCGAAACATATGGTATAAATTACATCCAAACTGCTCCATATGCCCCGCAGTCAAATGCATCTGAACGGGTCAACCAATCAGTACTGTGTGACGACCAAAAAGTCGTTGCACTAATTTTTGCCCACACCATGTATTTTTCTGTTGTTTAATAAATAAGAAAATATTCTAAAATCCCTGCATTCTTCTTTGTCTCGGTCAAAAGAAAACAACAAAATAAAAAGGGTTACAGTTATTCTCCCGCATCACAGCCATTGGTTGTAATGATCACAGCCCCTCCCACGCTAGAACACGTGGTTGGGGCTTGCTATAAAAGGGAGATCAACGAGTGAGAAGGGACAGCCAGTGCCAGACAACGACAGAAGACACATCCATCCCAGGTGAGTGATACATTGTATGATAATTCTGATAGCCGTCCTAGGGTACTTATCCAGGTCCCTATTCCCAAAGAAATCCTTCCGTATCCTTGCTTGAGTACTTATCCAGGTCTCTTGCAGTATAATCCTTGCCTAAGTAGAATCCTTGCGTATCCTTGAATAAGTAGAATCTTTGCGTATCCTTGCCTAAGTAGAATCTTTGCGTAACCTTGCCTAAGTAGAATCCTTTCGTATCCTTGCCTGAGTACTTATTAAGGTCTCTCGCAGTAGAATCCTTCCGTATCCTTGCTTGAGTACTTACTAAGGTCTCTTGCCGTAGAATCTTTCGTATCCTTGCTTGAGTACTTATTAAGGTCTCTCGCAGTAGAATCCTTTCGTATCCTTGCCTGAGTACTTATTAAGGTCTCTCGCAGTAAAATCCTTACGTACCCTTGCTTGAGTACTTACTAAGGTCTCTTGCCGTAGAATCCTTTCGTATCCTTGCTTGAGTACTTATTAAGGTCTCTCGCAGTAGAATCCTTTCGTATCCTTGCCTGAGTACTTATTAAGGTCTCTCGCAGTAGAATCCTTTCGTATTCTTGCTTGAGTACTTATTAAGGTCTCTTGCAGTAGAATCCTTACGTATCCGTGCTCGAGTACTTATTAAGGTCTCTTGCAGTAGGATCCTTACGTATCTTAGCCTGAGTACTTATTAAGGTCTCTCGCAGTAGAATCCTTTCGTATCCTTGCCTGAGTACTTATTAAGTTCTCTCGCAGTAGACTCCGTGCGTATCCCCTAGCTTATGTCCCCAAATGACCTACGTAACTGGAAAATCCGAATCTCAGTGAGAGTATCCTGTTGTGAGAGTACTTACCCAGGGCTCCAACTCCCAGTATCCCAGTCCATTCCCCACCAGGAGTACTTATCCAGGTCTCCATTTCGAAGGACGGCAAAAGTTAACCACCTAACCTCGGACAGACGTCATCCCTGTAGTATTAAGCTATATCTAAGTCACGAAGCTCAGAGAGTATGCGTGAGGTACCGATCAACACAGCCACGGCTTGTCGAAGATGCGGCCAGGAGGGCCATTTCGCAGCCGGATGCCGCAATCCACAGAAGCTCTTCTGCTGGGAGTGTGGTCGGAGAGGCATTCGGACGATACAGTGCTGTCGAAAGCGATCGGGAAACGAGCATCGAGTCCGCATGGAGGTAGAGAATGTGGGCTCGCAGACACCCACTCCAACTCAGGAGGAACATCGCTCTACAATACCGCCTCACGCATAATTGCAGAAATAATAATTCAGGGTCGGCGTTGCCTGGCCACCGTTGACACAGGGGCAACCAGGAGCTTCATCAGTGAGACGTTCGCCCAGACAATCGATCTCCAAACCATACAGAGAACACAGGATATAACGATCAGGTTGGCAGATGGGTCACAACGGAGAGTTCAGCATTCTGTGATTACCGAATTAATCTTTGGATAATGCAAAATGACAATGGAATTCCTGATTATGCCCCACGCCAGCGATTATATATCATCTTGGGGATGGATTTTCTTCAACTGAGCAGGACTAAAATACTTTGTGCTGGGTTAAGTTGTGTCATACCGTGTACCGAAGAAACAGGGAGAACAATCGAAAAGCATCTACACCTGACAGTAACCACACACCAACCACCGGAATCCGAGAAAGACGACGGCACAAATACGATAAACCCGGGATTGCAAGAACCTACCTTGTCACCCACGGTAAGTGTGCTAAGCCCCACTGATCAAGAAAGGATAAACGCTTTCCTCAACGAAGAACTAAGGAAATTTGAGGAGTTGCACGGATTCTCTACGGTCGCTTCTCACCGAATTGTCATGAACGACGATAGGCCATTCAAGCTGCGGTATGCAGCAAGGAACCCAGCAATGCAAGCCATCGTCCAGGAAAAGGTAAATGAACTCCTTAGTAAGGGATTTATAGAACCTTCACGTAGTCCGTACAACTCACCAATTACATTGGCTCGGAAGAAGAACGGTACTTGGAGACTGTGTATGGATTTTCGCCATTTAAACAGTAAGTCCGATCCCGATGCGTACCCCTTACAGCGGATCTCGTCCATTCTCGACCGACTCAGGGAGGCGAATTTTGTCAGTAGCCTCGACTTAAAGGATGGATATTGGCAGATACCATTGGAAGAGACTAGCAGAAAGTACACGGCATTCACTGTACCCGGGCGAGGGTTATACCAATGGCGGGTGATGCCTTTTGGACTGCATTCCGCCCCCGCTACATTCCAACGTGCCCTCGACACAGTAATAGGCGCTGACATGGAACCACACGCATTCGCCTATTTAGATGACATCATTGTCATAGGTAAAACATTAGAAGAACATTTGGAAAATTTAAGAGAGGTGTTCCGAAGACTACGAAGGGTGAATCTGCGCATAAACCCAGAAAAATGCGACTTTTTCAAGAAAGAGACCAAATACATCGGCCACGTCGTTAGCGCCCAAGGCATCCACACGGACCCAGATAAGGTTGCGGCCATTCGTGAACTGCCAACACCCACCTGCCTGAAAGAACTCCGCCGGTTTTTAGGAGTAGTGTCGTGGTACCGCAGATTTGTTCCTGATTTTGCAACCGTAGCATACCCTCTCACCTCCATGTTGAAAAAAGGAAAGCATTGGCGTTGGACCGAGAACCAGCAAACTGTTTTTGAAATACTGAAGCTTCGTCTGACAGAAGCACCGGTATTAGCTTGCCCGGATTTTTCAAAACCTTTTTCACTACAAACAGATGCTAGTGACTACGGGCTAGGAGCGTTAATACCGCTCCTCGAAGGCACGGAGAGAGTCATTGCGTACGCTAGTAGGGTCCTAATTGGAGCAGATAGAAATTACTCCGCAACTGAGAAGGAATGTCTAGCCAAAGTTTGGGGTATTAGAAAGATGCGCCCCTATTTGGAAGGTTATCATTTCAATGTTATAACCGACCATCTATCCTTGAAGTGGCTCAACTTCATCGATAACCCTACAGACAGGTTGGCGCGCTGGGCCCTCGAGCTGCAACAATACACTTTTTCGATTCAATACAGGAAGGGTCGCTGTAATGTCGTAGCAGATGCATTGTCACGGCAACCGGTGGAATATCTCCAAAGGGCAAAAATAGAGTACAGCGGATGCCCGTGGATAGCGAAGAAGATAGAAGGTATGAGAACGAACACGGAGAAATTTGCAGATTATGCGCTGGTAAATCAGCAACTCTTCAGGCATATTGCAGGGAACTAGACATCTGCATGAATGCACAAAAACACCACCCATGAGTCACTCACACAAAGTAATGGCTTCTATTCTATAAATTTGTTTGAAATGAAGTCCAATGAGTGAGGGTACAACAAATATGAATTGCTTCAGGTATGAGAGTTTCGAATTTGTTGTGTATTCGTTTGATTCATACAATCCACGTTTCAGACTCGACGAACCGGTATTTATTGTGTATGTTTACTTCGGTATGAATGTATGTTGTAACACACAAAGTTTGAACAAATGCGGCAAGTTCGTACACGAACATGTTTTACACAATGAGTGTGTCGAATTATACAGTAATATTCGAATTACCCGAATTAATTGACGAGATATTTTGGTTTTTACACCATCCACAAAAGTATGAAGGGTATGTTATGTTATGTTTTTTTTTTTTTTTTTTTTTTTGTAACTCATCGAAATAGTAATTTCCGCCCATATAAAGTATATATATTATTAATAAGGACAAAATTTATGAATATCTAGTAATGTATCCACTATATAGCAAAACTTTTCTTTTTTCAATATTTAGATGTTTTTAAACGCACTTTTTTTAAATTCGTTTTAATTTGGGTTCGAATTGGATACCCCATAGTGTGGGGGATATTCAGTACTACAACTTGTCAGTTCATAACCTATAATATGTTAAGACTTCTGTTGTAATATTACTACCTTCGGGGGTGTCGAGATACAAAACTAAACCGTTACGTTCCAAAATGGCCTTTATCAGTCCACATTAAGTATATCCTCCCGAGAAGTAATCAATATTGGCCCCCTTATATGCAAAGCCAATTTTTTATACCCTTCACCACACTGTGGTACAGGGTATTATGTCTTTGTGCATATATTTGTAACAGGCAAAAGGAAACTAGATAGACACATGGTTCCTTTTTAGTATATGCATAGAATCACTTTCTAAGTCGATTTATGCATGCCCGTCCGTCTGTCCATGTCAAATTGTAAACAAAGTACAGGTCACATGTATGATCCTAATTGGATGAAATTTGGCATAGGTCACTAATTTGGCACAAGGACGAACTCTATTAAAATCGGTCTAGAATAAT